ATCAAAAATTGCTCTCCTTTGATGATTTCTTCATTTGGTTGTCTGTTTTAATCAAAATTCCTTAGTGGGCCAAACTGAAACCTCATATATTCACACACACCTCCCATTGATTTCACTTGGTGAAACTTTATCTTTTAAGCAAAGTTTAAGTTGAAATGTTGAGTTAATGATGCTCACTTTAAATACCAAAGGCTGAATGCATTTATGTATTCAAACACTTAACTAGTCAAACATAACTCCCATCAGGGTTTAGAGGAAGGATTATTTCTTAAACTATGCCAGCCACACAAATAATATATTGCTATTCAATCTGCAGAAAAATTATACTAAAGAGGCTTATTAGTATTTTATTTCTGTGGCAAAAGGTTCTGGAGTTGTTGTTTTTTTTTAAATCTAAATAGAACAGAATAAAATAATCAATATGATATTGGGAAATACTTTTGTCAATTACCCAGAGTGTTTATTACACAAACTAAGAAATATACACTAAAGAAAAAAATGCAAAGTAATTTCTCCATGACATTGTCTCTGTCTCTAAAAGATATTAGGCTATAAAATAAATTCATAACTCTATAATTGTCTAATAAATACCGACTTTGAGTTAGAAGTCTTTTTCTCCTCATGACATGATTAAACTTTTAAACTTCCTATATGGGGAATTATATCGCACTGAAAACAGAATATCCAATTCTTTTTTAGTGAACCCATTTAAGATCAGGTATACATGCAACAATTTAAGGGAAATATATCCACAAGAATACATTTTGGTGATTTGTTCTGTTTGTTAACACTTTCACAGAGTATATGTGAATTTTCTTTGTAACATTTTCATAGAGAATGTATTTAGAAAGTATCAAAAGTATGATGAAACATTTTAACATCAGGAGATTACATATGTGAGTGAATGAGTTGACAGTAAACACGAACACAATTACAAAGAATATTTTAGGAATAAAATTCCTCCAAAACAGTAATTCCCAAACTCATATCCCTTATAAGATTCTGAGCTGCCTGCTACAATTTCAATTGTCTTTTTGTCCATTGTAAAGAGTGACTAGGACATTTTTCACCAAGAATTCAAGAAAGAACTTGATTCTGAATTCAGTGAATCAAATCAGCACATAGATTCTTCAGAGAGTTACAGAAACTGTTAACTAGGGCAATACTATTCTTGATTTCTTTTCCTACATTGTAGCAGTCACTTGTCCTGGCAGACTTTTTCTTTTATAAAATTCAGTGAAAACACTTACCATACCCCTGTAGGTTATATACACTTAAGAAAAGATGTTAATTCCTAACCTAAGAATTTCTCTGAAATCATAAACACACTAACTTGTGATCATTTCCAAAGGGTACAGAAGAAAAAACAAAATTTCTAGTAATTTATTTGATTTGCTGTAAACATATATTTTATTTAACTAAATTTGGAAAACATTTGAATTGTTTCTAAGCCGTGAATTAACATATGACCAGGAACTAAAATCAGGCACAAATGCATATAAAAATGTTTGTCTTTAATTTGGGATCTCATGATAATTTGTTGCTTGGAAAACACTTGTACTGGTTTTTCACTAATGAAAATAATATGGAGCCAAGACACTTACTGTTATCTAACAAATGTAAACCTCTATATATGTATATATAGAGATACATACATACATGCATACATACATATATATGCATACACATATACATATATACTTAGCTTGGATGAAAATAAGCAAGAGAAAGGAGAAAGGGAAAGTCTATGTGATGTTTATTCACGGCTTGCAAGTCTCTGTATGGGTTATTTGAGGAGTCTGAAATGGCTTTGTTCTAAGTCCCTCAAGAAAGAGGAAAATAAGAGGAAGAGCTCAATGGATGTAAAGACAGATACATAGCCAATGAACACATTTTCATGATTCTGAGTAAAAAATTATCCTGCAGATACTTTCCATTTATTTAAAATGTATTTTTAAATTGCCTTTGATTTTTAATCGAGGTGCTACCAGAGGTGACATAAGAACATGATCATGGGCTGTTTGATGGTGGTAGTGATACTTGAGTGTAGTAACTTTGTGCAAAACCATGAATTTTAACACTATAGTAACCATGTTATACAAACTCATATAAACAACAAGCTGGGAAGCAATTCATTAATAGAGTATTTATTGCAAATAAAGATTTACTAAGTAAGCAAATGCACATGGTCGTGTGGAACAGATTGTGAAGACAAAATCTTGCCTGCAGAATAAGAGAAGCTTGTTTGTGTTGCACTAGTTGCATTGCTTGGCATTTGAGAGTGAGATACTATGATTTCTGCCACATGGTATTTCTTTGAAGTCATCCTTGCCCTATTTAAAGTTTTGGGTTTCATTGTCTATATTAATTCATTAGCATTTACCGGATTCTATGTTGGGCTCTTCGGATAAAAACAGAACTTCACTTCTTGCCACAATGTGGAAAAGAATACTTTCTTAGTTTCTCTTGCTGATTGATAGTTTTATGAGATATCCAAACCACATACTATTTTTGATAAAGAAAAAATACTTAAATATCAGCATTTAGACTTAAACACAATAGTCATAAAAATTAACACTTTCTCTAGGAATAATCTTTTGAGATAAATACTGGTTTTTAGATTTCATACTCTTCTCCACTTTTTATGTTACAAGAAAGCATCTGAGCATATTGGGGGTCTTCATGACCTCATGATCTTGGGCGCAGTGAGGTCTCCTGGCTTTATGTGAGCCTTGGTATGGGCAGCTGGGTTCACTGAAAGAAGTCTATTCTTGGAGGTTAAGAGTTTGCCTCTTGTAGAGATCTGTGATTGCGTTGCTGTTTTTTTCTTGGCTTAGACAGGAGGTGATTCATGCTGACTAAACCTTATCTCAGCCTCACTGGCCCTGCCCCCTTCACTTTCCTTGGTATCCTTGTGCTTCTGTTGCCATGGCAATGCCTCTATCAAATTCACCACCCCAACTCCTAGAAACCTTGTGCTTCTGGCCCTCCCACCTACCTGTCTCAGGTGTTTCTGGGTCCTAGACCAAGGACATACATCTGAGCACCTGCTCTTCCTGCCTTCTTATTCACCAAATCTATGGGAGGGCTGAATTTCTCCTTTTCTTTCCCTTTTGCTTATTATTATTTTCTTGGGGGCCAGCCTTCTACCTTTCCTTGGTGCTTAAGGTTATGAATAAAATGTGGGAGGTTCCAAGAAGAGGAAAATAATGACCATAATTCAAGAGGAATTTCTAAATGATCGCATCTGTTGTGTGAGCAAATACTTATTAGTCATTCCTTATTAGTCACTCAGAGTTAATAATGCAAGCCTAATGGTTTATTTTTCCCAGTTACAATGGATTTTCGTTTGTTTTTTGGTGTCTTGAAATGTTTCTAGTGTCTTGAAATGTGAACTATATTTGATTTTTCATTTATTTTGTAAGCTTGTTCCCCAAAGTGAGGTCCATGGCCTGCAATTTTGCTTTCACTGCTTGCAGAAATTCGGGGCCCACTTGAAGACTGCTGAATCAGTACTTGTATTTCAACAAGATGCTCAGATGTGCCAGATACACATTAAAATTTGAGAAGCACTGATGGAAGCCATCATTGCCTTACTGAACACTTTAGCTGCATCAACTATTTCTATTATCAGCATTCAGTAAAACATTTATTAATCAACGTATTAGCCACTGACAATCTTTGCCATTTTGTGCCTACAGTCTTTATCAAGGATCTCTATAATTATTGTAAGGTAATTAAAATATAATAGACAATTCTGGATCTAGTCTATCACCAGACACACCTTAATATTTTGACAGATCTATTAAGATTGAGTTGTAGTTATGAACAGTGATGTTCATTTTCTTAGAATGGAGACAAGAGTAGATAGTAAGACACCTGATAAAATCCAATTTATACCTGAGGCTTTTTGCTCCATGAGTACATAGGGTTTTGTCCAGTTACAGTTTGACAGTATTTTAAGTTTTTTTTTTTTTTTGGAGGCTGATTTTCAGGGGCGGGAGGGAGGGGAGGAGGACAAAGTCATAGTTTTTCATCCTGCTCTTTCATTTTCTGATCACAGTGTTTTAGAAGAATCTGGGCTTTACTTATTCACCAGGCTTTCAATAGAAAATCACATTAATCCTTTTAAGCTCCTTATTCTAATGATTTATTTTGTTGAAAACCATAGTGATCCTCCTTTGAATTTTAATGATTTCTGGCTATTCAAAGATTCATTGTTTTGACTTCCTGTCCTTACCTTTGTTTCCTACATGTCTGTGGGGAACACCTGTCTAATACTGGGTCTGCCCCTGGTTCTCACTGGCTTACCAGAGTCACTCAAGCCTATCTCTGAGTGTTAAGCTGAAACGCTGGCTACTCATCCATGAAGATAAACGTAGGGTATATGTTTGCAGAGATAGGCAGATAGACAGCAGAGGGACAGATAAATGATTGAGTCATTTCCCAGTGAAAATAGTATTTGGGGTGGGTTACTGTATCGTGGTCATTGTCAAGAAATTACTTAAGTTTTATATCTTTAATCATAAACTGATCAGGATGCTTTCCCTATGAAAAATACAGTTGAAAACACAGGGATTCAAATATCGATGGTGCTATCCTTGCCCAAACTCTGGATCAGGTTTTCTGGAACAAGCAAGGCTCTGGCCTTCCATGTCTCAGTCTGTTAAATATGGCACTTTTTAAAGAACGTAATAATGGCTACTTTGTTCAAATTCTGTACCCCCTCAGAAAGGGTCAGCAAATGGAAATAGCCACAATGTGTCTCAGGTATATGCATCAGAATTACATGTTACGTTTTCAGAGTCTAAGAAGTGGTCATGTCAGGTGCTTGAGCCCCTCTTTTTGCCACTGTGTAACCACACAGAGCATTTCCCCTTCTCTTTTTATGGGTATCACCTAGGAACATCATGGGTTTTTCAAGAATATATTATTCTAATAGGAGATTTTAACAACTACACTGTATTTATGCATAATACATTTTTGTGCCTTATCTTCAGACTTCTGGACTTTGATTCAGAATATCAGGAGCTCTGGGATTGGCTGATTGACATGGAGTCCCTTGTGATGGACAGCCACGACCTGATGATGTCAGAGGAGCAGCAGCAGCATCTTTACAAGGTTAGAGCTTCCCTTCTTCCTTTACCTTGCAGTGGAAGATCTGATTAGCCTGACAAGTCTTTCCTTCTCTCAGGATATCTTTGCGTTCATTGTATGTATCATAGTGTCTATTAGAATTCCCTTCCTTGTCCCCAAACTCATTTCCATCCCTTGTGTGCTGACAGGCTGCACCGACATCATAATTGCAAGAAAGTTCCCTTTATCACATTCTATTTGGTGTAATTCTATAGAAGGACAAAGATTTATCTTCAAGATGAATAGCAATAAATGAAACTGCATTAATAAATAGACTGAAACAAAATGAAGGATAAATGGACTGGTAACATTTAACAAAATGTATTTTGATTGGAGCACTCAGGTGGATTTTATCCGCCCCTCAGATCTTTCCAGAGATAAAAGAAATCTGCCTGCAGTTTGGCTTGCTGCTTTCAGAGTACAAGGCTTGTCCAATTTAATGTTTATTAGTGATACATAACACAGACATTGTCATATTAAGTAAATACATTTGTGTGTGATTTAAGAAAACTGGCTCAGAATTCAGATATTGATTGCAGGCAATCCATCTAATAACTATCCATATTGTTTTCCACGTCTGCTAATTTACCTCTAACCTAGTGCATTTTACCTATTCTTCTTAAACAGTTTTAGGAATTCTTACAATACGGTCGTGTGATTTTCACCAAAAAAATTGGTTTCGAGATTCAGTGTCTGGAAAAGCTGTTGGGGAGGGTACAGAGACTTTCCACTAAAATATCAGACTGCAGTAAATCTTCCTCATTTAGGCAATTTTTATTGGAGTAATTCTGACAGTTGTCATCCTTGAATTGCTTTGAGCATATGGCATATTTCAAAGAGCAGATTGTGAATCATAAAAAATAAAATTAATAACTAACCACAGAATCAGCAACAGTATAATGACAAGAAACAACTACCCTCTAGCTTTTTAAAATTTTCATATAGAATAAGAAGTACATTCAAGGTCAAATAAAAGTTGTATTCTTTCTTCTTCAATTTTATCCTTTTAAGAGGTATCTCCTTAATATATTATTTTAACTTTCACCACCTCAAAAGAGAGCTATTTGTACTTTTCAAGGAACTGTGGTTGACTTTAATTAGTGTCCCCTGAGAATCATTGTGGTTAAGAGAAGATATAAGCTCCCTAAGGAGTCAGCAAATGGCACTATTTCACTCCCTCCTGAATTTTGTACAACATTAATCGAGTTTGTTGACTATTAGCTGTTTCCATATATAGATAGCTGTCCACATTAGTGACAAAGCTATGCAGTATATCTTCTGACATAACATTGTTGGAAGAGCCATCTCAACCCAACAAAACCAAAGCTAGGTGATTTCACACATCATTTAGGATCAAGGATTATATATGAGAAATGCCTATCAATGCACATTAACAGTGATAGAAAAATATGGTTTTTTCCCCAAGTATTAAAAATATATCCAAAAGAGGGGAAAAATAATACAGAAGCTACCTAATCATAAGCTGTTATCTCCAGATCTTACTGCCCTCAGGATACCAAATAACATTCCCTTTCTTCTTGATGTGTTTTGTGTTCTGCACATAGACCACTATTTCTTCAGAAACAGTGCTATTCTTTGTCAAAATCACATTCATATAATTTACATCACAATTAATAGGAAATCACTGAACAAAAAGTGCAGTCTTTTTGTGGTTTCCTTATAAGGACTTTGTCTGAGAATTCCCATTCTGGCATGTTGACGGCCATTATTCCACCCACTCAGTACTTCTGGGTTATAGTACTTTTTTATTTCAAGCTTTTTCTGTTTCTGTGACTCTTAGTTTGTAACTCATGCTGTGTCCTCGTCTTTCTTCTTTTAGGTGTTCCCCATGTCTCATTTCACTAGGCCATGTACAAAATTAAAAATTAAGTTCAAACCAAGGTCAAGAATCTACAGGTTTAGAGTCTCTCTTTATATAAGTCCCAAATTATTCTGGAGATTTGGAAACCTCCACAGCTATCCTGAAGGTATTGACTAAAGATCCATTTAGAGCTTGAGATGACTCCTGAATTAGAAAAACTAAAGAAAAAAGTTATTTTAAGTCTTTCCCAGGAATGCCCAGGGAGTCTCAGTTTGGCTCAATATTTTTAATGTCCCTGGTTCCTGTTCTAATTTGCTTTGCCAGAAATCAGCATTGGAGAAGGGAGGCTTGGAGTCTATTGGTCATAGAGACCACTGAAGGACAGTCTTTCAATGTCGTCTGAGGCCTTCTTAATCTATTTAATGTTTTAATTTGTTGACTCTGAACAGTGCAATGTTTTACCAGCATTTCTCAACTGAGGTATCATTGGCATTTTCAAACAGTGTTTTGTTAGTTTTGATATTAAATATCTCTTCTGTTATAGTGTGTTACTATTCATATATGTTTCCTAGTCATTATGACAACTCAGCAGGACTCTCAAGTTCAGTTCGTAGCATTTACAATCTATCCTGACCTTATCTATTTTGATCACTTCTTTTAAAACTTGCTCAACACCAAGAAAAATGCCCTGTATTTTTATAGAACTCGTACTTTTTGTATTGTTGACAAAATATATTTATAGTTGATATTGCACTAACAACAACGAGTTAAAACACATGATCCCTAGTATGAAAGCAATAAAAAAATGGAGGGTAAAACAAGGATAGAATCTTTATTCTCTGTACAGCAGACTTTGGAATCTCTTTTCTCCTCTGCCTCAGACCCTATACATTTTGCTATTTAGATCCATTCTTGGCATAAACAGTCATGTGTGAGCACTGATTTATGTGTCACACAGTCCTAAATTAATCCAAAGTATGCATTTAATACTGTTGTGTTACAGAAAATATAGTAAGGTGATAGTGAGGGGGTGGAGAGCGAGCACAAAGGACTAAGTGCCTACTTTGCATACAAGATTTCTGGGTTCAGTCCCTGGCACCACATGCCTCCTACCCCCAGAGCAATGAACTGGATGCAACACTTGTTGTGGCAAAAAAATGAGGCGAAAAGATGATAATTAAATTAAGATTATCGTTTTGAACTTTTGTTCTAATCAACTTCAGTATTTATTATTATTATTATTAATCTCTTAAGCCTTATATTCTTAACTTTACCTATTTACATTCTAGTTTCTGCTAGAAAAGCATCATGGGAGATAGTACAGTGGTTAAGGCAGTTGCCTTGCATAGAACAGACCAGGGTTCCATCCCCAGCACCACATATGATCCCCAAGCACTGTCAGAACTATTGCTTGGGCACAGAGCCAGGAGTAAGCCCTGAGCACAGCAGAGTTTGACCTAAACCCTCATTGCCTTACTAAAAAAGGAAAGCTATCCATCCTTAACACCTAGATATAGAACAACAGATAAATGCCCAGGTGTTCCTTTAGGCAGATCTCCTCAGTGATTTGTTGGTCATCCCCAAACCAGTGAAAGGTATCAAGGTAAACAGATTTAGCATGCAGATAATACACTGATACGGAGTGACATAAGATTAAGATACTATAATGAGATTTTAAAATTCTCTCTTGTCATTTTCAGATTGTTAAAAATTTAAGATTATTTTTCCTTCTAATTTTAAACCTCATCCTTTTAAGAGTGTCCTGATACTTACTGCAAAAAGAGCCATTCCTTTCTATTTGTTTCCTCTTTATTTGGAGACAGGAAGCCACTTAGGCCCTGTCTTTCCTTCCTATTTCTCTGTGTTGCTCAACCTCTAACAGGCAGTGCCTCCTACTCATTTTCTAATACACATTGGCAGTATCTTCAGCCTGGAAAACGCTAATGCAGTCCTTTCTCTTGCTTCGGAGAATCACCTCCGAGGAGAATTTTCTCCCATTCTCCCACTTTCCTTCTCTTCATTCCTCCTACCTTCTGAGCAGGACAGTTTAATTTGTCAAAAATAACCACCATGATTTTGAAAGTTCAGTTCCTATTTGGACTAGAGCGATGAAGCCAGAATTCATAATCACAGGGAACTGTCACTCCAATGGTCTGCATGTGCATTAACTATTAATGGAGAAATATTTAAAACCCACTTGCAAAGGAAAAGCTCCATTTTTCCCCGATGCTACAGATCAAAGGTGACATTATTCCTGGACTCAGGGAAGCTCAAGACACTTCTCCTTCCTTCAGTATGATAAATGTTATAGACTAAAGGAGCTGGAAGCAGCATCATGAGCTGGTGCGGAGTTCTCTTCCCTAGTGACTGTGCTGGGCCACTGCCAAGGGTGGTTCTGTCAGGGGCTCCTTACCTCCCCAAAGGCTCTGCCTGTTCCTAAATATGTTCTGAGCTCTGATGACACAGCTTCCAGTGACTCTGCTTTTGTGTGGAAGTTCAGAGACAATGACAGAATTCACAAGTGTAAGTTGGGTGGTTATTGTTATGACTATCAGGAGTTGTTTTCAGATTTTGAAGTTCACTAAAATACCATATTTGGAACCAGAGAAATGGTATAGCAGGGAAGATGCTGCCTTGCAGTGGCTGACTCCAGTTCCATATTCAGCACCCCATATAGTCCCCTGAACCTTTCAAAGTGTGAATAGTTTGAATAGAGTCAATTGTAAGTCTAGAACTCCTCTTGGTGTGGCCCAAATATATGAGAGAGAGAGAGAGAGAGAGAGAGAGAGAGAGAGAGAGAGAATGTGACACCACATTTGTAAGTGGAGTGAATGGCTTAGCTGCTCCTCATCAATAAAATATTAAATAACTACGTGATTACTCAGGTCAAAATAATCCTTCCAGCTTAAAAATTATGAAATTAGTACCCACTTCAACTAAGACCTTTGTACTTAGAAGGATTTTTGTTTGATGTTTTGGGGGCACACTGGGCCCTAGGTCTCTAGTCTTTTAGAATGAATGTTTGCTGAAGGCTGTATGTTTGATTATGAGGGGTAATTACTCTCTAGGGTTCAGCTTTTATAAGGGGGTGTGGGGGGAAATGTAAAGAACCTCTTTTTCTTTCCTCTAATATTATATAACTGTGAAAGGAAAAGAACTGCTT